TGCTTCTTCTATACCCTTCGAAACCCTTTCGATGGATACTTTCATGCAATACTTTCTATAAGTATGAGAGAGCTTTCCAAATGACATGTAATTCTGTAGAGGATGCTGAGTGCAATAGCAATAGTTGATTTGTCTTACTATCTTTCCTTTCTTTAATCACCTTGAACAAGTCAGCAAGTCATTTGGTTCTTTATCTTCTGCATAATTCTGTGGCTGGTCATTCTTTTCATTCAAATTTTCATCATTTCCATTAAGGTGGTCATGAGTGGTATTGCCAATAGGGAAATCAAGTTGGCTAGGTTTAGTAGGAAAAACATGTGAGTCTGGAGGAGTAACAAGTTCAACAGGAAGCATCGGTTCAATAGGTTCAGTTGTAGGAGTAGGAGCATTTTCAACATGTGTAGAAAAATCCCACACTTCAATTTCACTAGATTTCTCCCCCTGAATTGAACTTGGGTAGAAAGGAGTATTTTCAAAAAAAGTGACATCCATAGTGACAAAAAATCTTCTAGTCTTAGGACAAAAGCACTTAAATCCCTTTTGACAAGGTGGGTATCCCAGAAAAATACACTTTATGGCTCTAGAATCCAGCTTTGTTTCAGGTAAAGAATGCACAAATACTATACACCCAAAAACCTTAACAGGAAGAGTTTGCAATAATCTATTTTGTGGGTAGTATTAAAGAAGTGCTTGGAGTGGTGTTTTAAATTGTAGGACACTTGAAGGAAGTCGGTTTATGATATAAGACGCTGTAAGGACAACTTCCCCCCAAAAATTTGTTGGCACATTGTTTGTAAACATTAGAGCTCTAGCAACCTCTAGGAGATGTCTATTTTTTTGTTCGGCCATTCCATTTTGTTGAGGTATTCCTACACACGTACTTTGATGAACTATCCCTTGATTACTAAGATACTCTCCTAGAACCTGATTGAAATACTCATGACCATTATCAGTGTGCAGGATTTGGATTTGAGTTTGGAATTGTGTTTTTATCATTTGATGGAATTTATGAAAAATGTGTGCAGTTTCAGATTTTTCTTTCAAACAAGAATACCCAGCAAATCCTAGTATGATCATCAATGAAGGTAACGAACCATTTTGCACCAGAAATGTTTTTAACCTTAGTTGGTCCCCAGATGTCACTATGAAATATAGAAAATGGTTCAGAGTTTCTATATGGACGAGAAAGATAAGAGCTTCTAGTATGTTTTGCAAACTGGCACACATCACACTGAAATAAATTCATATCTTTATTATGAAACAAATCTGGAATCATTTTTTTCAAATAAGGAAAACTAGGATGCCCTAATCTTTTATGCCAAAGCATTATTCTACTAACAACTAAACTTGAACCTAAATTGGAAATTGGATCCTTGATCCTGGAGGAATCTACGGAACTCTTATTGACTTGCCCCTCATCTATTTATTTCTGCTGATGGTTAGAAAGATGGTACAATCCATTATTCTCCTTAACACTGCCAATCATCTTCCCCGAAAATGAATCTTGAAATTGACAAAGACCAGAGGAAAAGTTAGCCTTGCAATTCAGATCACTGGTTATCTTACTAATCCATATCAGATTACACGAAAGATTAGGAACATGTAAAACTGAGAGTAGTATAATATCTAGGGAAATGTTAATATTTCCTTTTCCTGCTACTAAAGAACGGAATCCATTGGCAATTCTAATCTTGAGTGTTCCGGGTATGGTACATATGTAGAAAACAATTTAGAATTTCCAGTAAAGTGATCTTATGCTCTAGAGTCCACTATCCATTCATCATTGTTTGCAACTTGTGTGTTAAGTGCCAGAGAAAAACTACCTTTTGTGCAATATTGCAAGATGGATTTACGAAGGATTGAGAGTTACTCTGGTTCTGCTGAAATTGACTTTGCTGAAGCAGTTTCTGAATTTCAGCAATCTGTTCCTGGCTATATATTGACTGCTGTTGGCTTGTTCTCTCCAAAACTGTTTGGTATCCCTTATTTGTAACCTGGTTGCGTGGCTTCCAGCCTGCTGGTTTCCCATGAAGTTTCCAACATGTGTCCTTATTGTGATTGGACCTATGACAATAGTCACACCATTGATTCTTTTTCTAGCCTCGGTATTCTCCAAAATTACCCTTTGAAGCTCCAGAAATTTGTTTATTCCAGCTTGTTACCAATGCTGAGGCTGAGCTATTTGAAAAATCAGTTTTACTTTGTCTCCTTGCTTCGTAGCATAACTCTCCTTTGGCTTTCCTCTCTTCTCACTTCTGCAAATGCCTCTTTCAGACTTAAGAGTAGGTTTGCACCCAGAATTCATCCCCTTACTTTGTCTCAATCCTTATTCAACCCGTGTAAAAAATCAAACACTCTCAATTTCGAGATAAGTCTGATTTTTTTTGCTACATGCAGGGCAGTAATCTGTAACATCTTTGAACAAGTCCGGCTCTTGCCATAACCCAGTCAAGGTGTTGTAGTAGTCCGTGACTGAAGATTCACCTTGCTTGCAGCCTCTCAAAACAGATTTAAGTTCAAATTGCTGAGCTGCCTAGATCCGAGTACATATCACGGACTATCTCCCAAATATCCTTGGCTGACTTGTATGTCAAATAGTTCCTTCCAATCATTTTTTCCATTGAATTCACGAGCCATGCCATCACCATTGAGTTGTCTGCCTCCCAGGTTGCATACGTTCTGTTATTCTCCAATGGCGCTGGTGTAGAGCCGGTTAGATACCCAAGCTTCCCTTTGCCTCGTATGACCATAATAACCGATTGAGACCAATCTAGGTAATTGGTTCTATCAAGCTTATGCTGGGTATTTGCAGGGAGTGACTTCCTATGGTACATACATGAGGAGGATTTGGTTGAAGGAGAGGACCAGAATCCGTACTGACGGATTTGGTTGAACTCGATTTAGCCATAGCAGAAAAAAATGGAGCAAGAAAAAAAATCCTAAAGCTTTGATACCATGGTGTAATTTAGAATTGGGTAGTAAATTTTCTTATATAATTACAAAGGATCATCTTCCTTTAAATAGACGGAATTTACAACAAACCACTCCTATAAAATAGGGGATAATATATGCTTAACTAGAAAAGCTAAAGACTCGGAAGAGATAACACCTAATCTAGATAAAATTTTAAAAAACAACTTCATTAATACTTAGTTATCTAATTACACGGTTTCAACCGTGATCTTTTTGAATTTGTAGAATTTTTTGAGTGTTTGTCACTTTTTAAACTGTTGTGTCTTTTTTGAATTTGTAGAATATATTTTTTTTGAGCATTTGTCACTTTTTTTAATTTCTATCACTTTTTAAAATTTCTATCATTTTTTTTAGTGTTTGGCATTTATTTTTTTTTTGAATTTTTGTTATTTTATTATTTTTTGTCCCTTTCTTGTAAACTGCTGCTATTTCTAAATTACTATCAAAATTTTTAGCAGAGTAAAATAGATGCTGACTCAATTCAATCTTGCAAATCTGAATTGCAATATATAATAACTAAAAAAATTAAGCAGAATGAAATATAAATTTTTATCAAATCAAACGAGTACACATTATAAAAAATTAAAGTTTGTCAATAGAAATACGTGGTTCGGGGCGAGGTGAGGTCTGATGGTGTGTTAGATGGTAAGATAATTGGAAAAGAAGATGAAAAGCAAGCTGACATTTGTTGGAAAAAATAATCCGTATTTTTTACGACCACGTAACAGTTAGCATGATTTTTCTAAATGTCCCCAGTTTTATGGGTATTTATGTAGGGGAAAAATTCATAGCCCAAAGCATAAAAATAGGCAAATTACATAAACTAAGACTTTAAGTATTCCCATTTCATACATCAAATGTCAACTTTACTATTTCAAAATAAAATCTTTTATTAATTAATTAATACATATAAAAAAATAAGGAAAAAGCTTCTTGTACGCTTCCTTTCACAACATTCTTCACAGCATTTTAAAAATGCTGACATGGCGTCAAGAGGCAGGGAATTTCCGGAAAAAAAATGGGGCTGGCTGGAGGCTCGTTTTTACCGGTTTACAACCCAGCCCATTTGAAAGCAACCCATTTCTGAGGGACTCCCGCTAAACAGCAACCCATTTCCACCTCGAAAATCAGCTGAAAATGAAATCCACAAATCAGTTTCCCGGCTTCGAAGAGCACCTCCGTCGCGACTGGTTCGGGAATGGGGAAAAAGGCATAAGTGCTATGAAATACTGAACCCATTTTTTCTCGAACTGTGCCTGAAAACAAAATCCCCAAATCAGTACACCCGGCTTCGAAGACCTCCTCTCTCGCGACTGGTTCCGAAAAGGGGAAAAAGGCATAAGCACTGTGAAATACTTGGTCCGGCTTCGAAGACCTCTGATCCTGAAAATTGTCTTTCTCCGTTCCCGGTTAGAAATTGTTTCTCCAAGTTTGGGTTTTTATTTTTTTGGTTTCTCCATTGGAGATTGTATAAGAAGAAAAGGAAGCTGCAGTAATGAAATATAGAAAGAATATGGTTGGTGCTTTGAACCGTTTAATGTCTCTGTTGCCTATTTTTATAGAGAAGGAGAGGAAGATTGTTTATATATTGAATGAGACATTATGTAAAAGTTAAAAAAAAATTAGTAAAATTTGCAGTTAATTTTTCTATATATTGAAGTATATATAGGTTTGTCTATCTCGAAATTAGGCTAAAAAAATGTTGAAATAGCTACTATACATGGTTTCCATTCAATCTAAAGGTATCTTAATTCAGGGGGATGTTCAGGCTACTGATTAATCATTTGTTTAAGTTCCTTATCCGTTGGAGAAGCTGGTATAATAATCAGATTCATTAAAGTAAAATCGAACACTTCTCTTTAGTCCCTGAGTTTATTTGGAAGCTTAGTATCGTATTATCCCAAAGCAGCTGTCTTCATCTTTGCTTGAATGCTCTCTGTATTTGGAAATTGAATGTTTGTCCTAAAATGATGAATAAGTAATGCTTAACATCTGACTTTGTTGATTACGACGCAGGAAAAGAAATAATGGAAGTATTGGATGATGAAGTACTCGTAGAATCTGACAATGAGAACTTGATAGACAATGTAATCATGTTGGAAGATGATAATGTTGGAGGGGATGCTACGATTGTGCCGGAGGTGGGTATGAAATTCAATGATGAGAAAGAGTTGTTTGAATTCTACAAAAAATATGCCTACGAAGAAGAAATTCCAGAAAGTGCAATGGTGTAGTGACGTACGTCACATTAACGTGTAGTCGTGAGGGACAACGACGCTACCAAAAAGGCGCTTCTTTGAAGCCACAACCAACAATTCAAACGGGTTGCAAAGCGAGGATAACTGCTTCCTCAGATGTTCGTGGAATATGGAGAATTTGCACGGTTGACCTCGAACATAATCATAAAACAAGTCCGTCGAAGTCGAGGTTGTATCGATGCAACCGTGAATTGAGTGAACATGTAAAACGAAGGTTAGAAGTGAATGATATGGCTGGAATTCCTTTACATAAGAGTTACAATTCTGCAGTGGTTGAAGCTGGTGGGTATGAGAATATGACTTGCATTGAAAAGGATTGTCGAAATTATGTGGAAAAAGTGAGGCGATTAAGACTAGGCGAAGGAGATGCCGTGGCAATACAATCCTACTTTTCGGAGATGCAAGCACGTTCATCTGGGTTTTATTTCTCTATGGATCTGGACGATGAGTCACGACTTAAGAATCTTTTCTGGGCCGATAATAGATCTAGGCAAGCATATAAGGAATTTGGTGATGTAGTGACATTCGATACCACTTACCTAACTAATAAATATGACATGCCTTTTGTTCCTTTTGTTGGAGTAAATCATCACGGACAGTCGATACTTCTTGGATGTGGGTTGCTGTCAAATGAGGATACATATACATTTGTTTGGCTGTTCAAAACATGGATGTTATGCATGCATGGTAAAGCTCCTAACGGAATTATTACCGATCAAGACAGGGCTATGCAGAATGCAATTAAAATCGTATTTCCAAATACAAGGCATAGATGGTGTCTATGGGATATATTGAAGAAGTTGCCCGAAAAATTTGGATACCATGTGGATAAGAGCTCCATTTTTTCGTGCATACATAGAGTAGTGTATGACTCACACTATGTTGAAGAGTTTGAAAGAGGTTAGGAATTGATGATTGATACATATAACTTGTACAACAATGAATGGTTGTCCGGTTTGTATGAGAACAGGGGTTGATGGGTGCCATGTTATTTGAAAACATATTTTTGGGCGGGGATGTCAACTACCTAGCGTAGTGAGAGTGTAAATGCATTTTTCGACTGGTATGTGCATTCGAAGACGTCATTGAAACAATTTGTTGAACAGTATGAACGAACACTGCGAAATAAGGTTGAGAAGGAGTTTCATGCAGATTTCAAGTCGTTTTCGCAGATGGTGCCATGTGCAACGCTATATGAAATGGAAAAGCAAGTTCAGGCATTGTTTACCATATCCAAATTTCGAGAGTTTCAAGATGAGATAACTGGGAAGGTCTACTGCGATGTCATATCTATGTCTGACGGGTGTTCGGAGAGGATATATGAGGTCGAGGAGGATGTTATATATGAAGACAAAGTGAGGAAGAAAAAATTCACCGTTTGGTTTCGTGCAGAGATGTGCGATATTGTTTACAGTTGTCATCTGTTTGAGTTTCGAGGAATTCTATGCAGACATGCCATTTCAGTGTTAATGCGTAACGCCGTCACATCACTGCTGGACCGGTACATATTGAGGAGATGGAGGCGAGATATTTGTAGAGCTCACACGAGAGTGTCAGTGAACTATGCCGGTTTGGTTAGCACTCCTGATCAGGTTAGGTATGAGAACATGTGCGATGAATTTGCTACATTGGCAGGCATAGCTGCAAATAATGAAGACCGATGTTGTGAGATAGTAGAATGGATTCGGTCACAGTCCAAGCAGATAATGTCTACCACACAGACTTCTCAGACGAATAGCATTTCTTTGCCCAATTTGCATGTAGCATCGCAGTGCAGAGCGTCACACGACACGGGCAGTGGCAATATACAAGATCCTAAATGCGCGAAACAGAAGGGCGCGCCAAGGAAGCTTCATAAGAAAAGCCCACTGGAGTTAAGTTCGAAGAAATCGAAGGTATTATGTGTTTTTTCGTGCCTTAATTTATCGGAACGGATACTTACATTGAAACTTTATGCTCTTCTACAGGTAGTATCGTCTTCAAGTACAGGACGTACACCACGACCGAGGAAGAACAATGTTGTACAGACGCCCCAGCAAGCAGAATATTCCATACCCACTCCATGTTCATTTCCTCAATTTACTTTGGTAAGTGATAAATTGGTTATTTGAACATTCAAAGGCCGCAATTTCTAATCATTTTTCATTGCCTGTAGGATGATCGTTGGCAAGAGCGCCATGTAGCTACACAACAGTTGGCGGGTTCAAATTCCATTGCACCATCACCGGCAAATGTTATGTTCCATTACCCAGGTAATTATATGATTTCGTATGTATAAATTGCATATGTTTCTTCCCCCATATTCTTTAACACGGCATATTTTTACAATTGGTACTACAATCCCATTCCAACCACCGATGCCACCTTCTCAAAGTGCCGTAGCGGGTTGGATGTATAGTGCTACCCAATCTTCAGTAGGACCCTTATTCAAGTCTACTAGTGAACATGAAGAACAAGGTCATTTCTGTGGAGAATTTTCAAAATAGTTGTTTATTGTTTTTGTTAATGCATTAGTGTTCATATTCTTTATATGTTCACTTCAATTCAGGAACCAAAAGATAACAGAAAATATGGTACAAGAAGATAACAGAAAATACCTTATCAAAAGCCGGTACAAGAAGATAACAGAAAATATGGTGTTCATCGTCTGCTGATATGTTCATCTGGAAGCTCAGTCCATCACTGCATCTGGCCATCTGCTGATGTTGCTTTTCCTTCAGAAAATATGTCATTTTGTCGCCCCCATTACTGTCCAGAACCAGCAACTGTGTGCAAATGTAGATTGCAAAAATCACTGAAGAGGGAGTAACAATTTCTCCACCCTACTCATTGAAGACTTTTTGGAATTTCTCCAGTTTTGAGAATCCTACTCTTGGCGCTGAGGGTTCATGGTAGCTCTAATAGTTTTCAAAATATGTAATGGTTCTATTTAATTTGCTGCTGCATGCTTTCATTTGATCATATGTTTGAAACATAAATCTCTATGTATTGGCTCTCTTGTCATCTTGGGAACCTTTTGGATATTTGCTCTATGTATTTAACTGAAAATTGAATCTGTTATCCCTCTTCCATGGGTACCTTAAATATGTTTTTGCATCAGGAAAATATTAATTAGTAGAAAAATATGAATTCTAATCTAATCCAACTTTGTGATTATTCAAACTCGAGATATAATATTTGGATGGATATCTTGCTTGCTGCAGTGTCAATCCTTGATTGAAGAATTATTAGCATCCAGCTCGACAGATTTACAGCAGCGTGCTTATGAACTTCAAGCAGTCATTTGCTTGGATGCTCGTGCAGTTGAGAACATTATACCAATGGATGCAAATTGTAAACGAGACTGAAAGTGTAACAAATGAGAGATTTTAGCCTTCTCTTCTAATTATCTAACTAACCAACAAAAGAAGTATAATGCTCAAGACTACAAGTCTAGATTTCATTTTTACAACTAAATAGCAATCGCATGAAACAAAAGCATTCGAAACTTGAGAGAAGACGACACTTATAATAGGCAACTGGAATAAGACCACATTGGCTCATTCATAATTTGAAGTTCGAAACTTGAGAGAAGACAAGATTGCCACATGCTCTAAACTACTACAAACTGGAATGGAATTGCCACCACATTACGCTACATAAAAACATTTCGTACTACACACTAATACAACAATTCAAGTTTCACATTCCAAGTCCTTCTCATCTGCCGAAACTCGTGTCCTCTTGTGCATCTTTATGTTCAGGGAAATCTCCAAGTCCTTCTCATCCGTTAACTTAGCCAGTGGTTTCAACATGTGCGATAAATCATCCACATGCTCAACTTCATTTGTAACACTTGACTCCCCATCGTCATGCAATGTACATTTTTCATCGGGCTTATTCTTACACCATTTGAACAACTTGGAATCGCGGGTACAACAATGAAACAATAGCCCTTTATTTTCATTGTTCTTTTCGACCTCCATCCATTTGACGAATCCTACACCGCAGTTGGGGCATCTTCTCTTTTTCGGGCATTCCGACATCATATGTCCCGGCATTTTACAAGAATGACAAATTCCCCTATTCTTTCCCACCATCCAAGTATCCTGGTTCAGCCACAATAAAGAACCAAAAAATGGTGCAACAAATTCAATGTCTAATTCAAATTACAGGAGAATTCTACATTACACTTCAACTACCAGTATTCCCACAACACATAATTTGACAGACAGTTAGAATATATTTTTCTGGGACACAGGGGAAGGCCCATGTAGTTCTATTACTTGCTACCAAAACATTTGACAGGCATCTCAATTAGCTAAACATTTGACACGCATCTCATCCCAATATACAACCATTCATTCAATCATCATAGACAGACTCATAATGGCAATGGGCTTTCGACTCCTCTCATACAGTGGAGTTTGAAAACATGAAAAATTATAGCCCAGAAACATAGCGCAGTGGAGGAATTTTTTGACAGAACATCGTGTTTCAATTTTTACGTGTTTAGCCCAGAAACATAGCGCAAGTGCAGATCTACACCCATCGTCGTTCTCAATTTTAGAACCATAGAACACATTCACAACAAAATAGGAGAATCACATTTTTGGCCTTCTTTTCACTTACCCAATACGAAGGACGTATTCCACCAGTCGTCTATTGCCAATGGAGGAGGTGTAACGATGGGCCACTTCGGTAATAACTCGAAAATCGCCACAGCTGGAGGGTATTGTTCTTAATAGGAAACCGGGCATAGAAATTGCGGAGTATCTATGGCGTTTTCCCGGTCGGAGGCAAGGTCGACGGTCGCCTGGAGATTTGGAGAGGAGGAGTTCGCACCGACTGCAATGGAGAGAGTTTTGGGGGTTAGGTTTACAGTCGGGTCCGAAAATCATTCACAATAACCCGATTACCCTTGCTCCGCTTAAGGAGTCGTGTGTTTGATTTTTTGTTTTTTTTTTAAACATTTTCCACCTCAACACTGTGAAATTTGCTGTGTTAATTGCTGTACGTGTAGCGGGCTCGAAAAAATAATTAATCTAATCACAATCCCTAAATTATCTAATTCACTTCTCTCTTTATTCTCACGTCTCAATCACTCTCTCAACAGCTATCTTCGCCGCAAAGAAGCCTAGAGCGTCGGCGTCGGGAGTGAAGCGGTCCGATTCCTCCCTCTCCTAGCTTGTATTTGCATCAAATCCACTGGCCCCGGTCTGGTGCAAGCGCAGTAGCTTCGCCTTGCTGCGATTTAAATTTTCTTCGACGATTTGTGGTGTTTCTCTGACTATATGTGGTGGCCAATGGTAGCGCGATGGCGACAGTGGTATGGATTGGTTGGTGCGCCGCCTCACCGAAGATGGCAGTGCTGTAAACTCGGTTGCCCACTGCCATGGATTCTTTCTTTTTTTCTTTTTCTTTTTTTTTTTGAGTTGTGGTGGTTTTTATTGGTAGGATCGGGGTGGCAGTTTTATTAGTAGCTACGCAACGAGGTGCATTTTGTGGTGAGGTTTTGGTTTGATTGTGGAGGTGGTGGCGATTTGGTGGTTTCTGGTGGCAGTGGAGGTGGATCTGGTGGCAACAATTTTGTTAGTGGTGATGTCGTGGTATTAGTGTTGGCGATGGTGACGAGGTGAGGGTGGTTGCAAATGGCGATGGTGACGGTGGAGTTGGGGGTGGTATGTGATCGACTCTTTGACTTGTGACCAATTGTTTGATTACTTGTGACCAATTATTTAACTGTGATCGATGGATCTCGAATGACAATATGGTGGTTTTTTCTGCGATTTGTTGATTTGTTTGAGATAGCGGTGTTGATGTCGGGAGATAGTGGTGGTGGTGGTGGTTCTAGCAGGGATGGTGGTAATGATATTGTTGGAGGTGGTGGTGAGATGATGGTCACAAGTGTTAGTGGTGGTCATAAATTATTTTGTTGATTGTGACCATTAAATTGATCAATATGTGACTAATAAATAAAACGTGATCAGTGAAAAATAAATTGTGCCTTGTAAAATTTTTAATTTGTGATCGATAATTTGATAATTAGTGACTTTCTAATAAATCGTGACATATAATATTTGTTATCTGTGACTGATTAATAAATTGTGACTTATAAATTTTTTATTTGTGATCGACAGATAAATTGTGATCTATAAAAATTTTGATTTGTGATCGAAAAATAATATGTAACTAGTTAAATCATTGATTTGTGACCAAATTATATAAATTTGTGACCTTAATATATTTAATTAATAAAATATATAATTAATTAATTAATTATCTGATTTTTGAAAGTTAAAACATTTATTCTTTGTTTTGAAATAGGTGATAGTTAATCTTTTAATTGTTAATTTTTCCCTTTCAAATATAAGATGATAGGTTTGAAGTTTCAAAAATTAGAAATATATATATCAATCAGCTTCCAAAAAATTAGCAGTAACTTACCATAAATGAAATCAAGCTGCAAATTATCGATTACAATTGGACTCTTAATTACAAAGATATCCACAACCTGTAACACAAATTCAACACCGATTCAGGAAAGAAGCCACAAAATCGATTAGTATCGTCGACTTTGTCAGAATCGTGCATTTTCACAGTAATTGAACAATTCAGGACACTGAATGGAGATACTTGTCGCATCAGTTCAGAAACTTTGGGGAGAATTGCAGAGATTCACTATCGAATTGCTGTTCAGATCGTTGAATTACCAGAGGAAACTTTTAATTTTTTTTAATATATTGTGGAAGGCACGGTGCTCTTTATTGAAATCTCAAATCAATTTGTAGCATTTTGTTTTGATATATATTTTGCCCTTTATTGAAATTCAGACATGTGAAAGAATGTGATGCAAGTACGTTGAATAATAATATGGAGGTATATGTGGTAATTGTATG